TGGATTCATTGAGAGGGATATTTTCTAGTCACTCAAAGTGAGGTTTTCACAGACTGTCTCATGATATTAGAAAATTCTCACAAAATATAATGTGAGGTGAAAATGCAGGAGGTGAAACCATATCCTTAATTCAGTTTGTACAAAAGCACTCAGACAGGAGCTTAGCATAAGAACAATGTAAGGGATTTTAGTAGAGGATTGACATATCAGATTTGCATTTTTAAATAACACTTTGACTACCAGTTGCAAAGGGTCAGTGGCAGCAGCAGATACAGTGCTATCAGGTAGGAGGTTGGTAGTCCAGGTCCAGGATGATGGAGTCTTAGGGTAAGGTGTAGTAGTCGTGGAAGCAATAAGAAATAGTAGCATTCAAGACCAAATTGGAGGTGGAGTAAACAAGTTTGTGGAATGGAATGGATGTGGTGTGTGAGGAAAGGGACCTGTCAAGGATGTTCCCAATGTTTGGGTATTGTGACTGGGTAAGGAACACTGTTGGATAAAATCTGGGGGTGTGGAAGATGAAAAATCCAGTTCAGAATATATAAGTTTGACATGCTGAGGAAGTATCCCAGCAGAGATGTCATATAGGCTGTTGAATTTAAATCTGAATGTTATAAATATGGATGTGTCCAAAAGAGCTAAGAGAAAAGTCCACCAAGATTCTAGCAGTGGTTTTCTCTAAGTTGTGAGTGATTTCTATTGTCTTCAGTATAGTATTTTATATCTCATAAATTTCTATAATAATCATGTATTATTTTTAAAATCATATTTAAATGTTGCTAAAACATGTTCATTGTGGCATTATTTTACTAGTATAAAAATTGGAAACAACCTAAATATATAACAATTATAGAAGACTGGTTAACAAAAAGTAAATAGAATGATATTGGAAACCCTTTAACCCCCTTTAAAAAAAATATTTTAAGTGTTATTCAAAAAGGAAAAGTTAACTCCGTTTAAAAGTAAATGGAATTTTAGAAAGTAAAATCTACAATACTGAATTGAGACTAAGAATTTAGAATCTCTAAACTATAGCATAATGTTCACCTCAATTCATATATGAAAGGATGGTGGCCAGATGTTTAGTTTGATGTACCTGCTTTTAGTGTGGAATTTTTGAAAATATACTAAATCTCGTTAGCCTGCCAGATTGCACTTATTTGTCATGAATTTATCACCCGTTAAATCATTTTTTTAAGATGGTTATTTTTCAAAGAGGAACACTCAGTGCTCTAGTACTTTGTTTGCAGATAAGAAGTATTTATTGCATCTCCTACGTGCATTATTTGAAAGTATTAGGGTTGTCATAAATCTTGTCAGTAATGTTAAACTATCTTAACTGGAAAAATGCTTTAAATTCTGTGCAGAATGAAGCAGAGGTTCGTGAGTTAATCTTATAAAGAAAGAGTAAGACACCTTCTTTCCAAAGGTCATTGAGAATTTATGTTTTCCTTTTTTCTCTTTTATTTTATTTTTTTCCTTTTTGTCTTTTTTCGTGTCCGGCAACGGATCGCAACCCTCAGTGTTGCGCCCACACCTCGCTCAGCCAGTGAGCGGGAACCAGTCTGTATGTGATATCCGAACCCTCGGCGGGAGCGCCACCACACTCCCAAGCGGCGCACTGTAGCAGTGCACCACCGGGCCGGCCCTCCTTTTTTCTCTTTTAAAGTCTCAGGTTATTTTAGGGTATAAGTAGAATTATTCTATCTCAACATTAAAAAAAAGAGTTAAAAAGCCGCATTGCTATTTTGGATTGACAGAAACTTACTTTTTATTCTTCAGCTACAGAATCATATATTGATAATATA